CGGGCACCGCTGTGCCATCCCCGGAGCATCGCGTCCCGGCCGCTCGCTGGGCCTCGTGTGGAGCACCTCGTGCAGGGGAAGGAACTCTGAAGGTGCCGCGTTCCAGAGAGCCTCATATTTATTTTCATCCTTCTAATTGGACCAAAACTGGGATGAGAAGAGGCTCTGGAAAGCATCTGAAGGGCTGGGTTTTGGCTGCAGCGTCCTGGGGAGCGCTTGCTTTCCTGCTCTCTGTGGGTCGATGTAGTCAGGAGCTGCCTTCAGACTCGTTCTGCAGCTGTAGGAGGTTTTATCAGCAGGAGAACAGGAGGATGGTTGAAAGCAGAATGATGGGGAGAGCAGCGAGGCAGGGGAGGACACCGGAGGGGAAAGCAGAGGCGAGGAGTGAGGCTAGATGTGACAATCCTTTGGCATCATGGGCTTGAAGCGATGCCCAGCTCTGGAGGTGGATTGGAGTCCCTGTGGGGAGAAGCTGGGCTCCCTGGAGTTTAACGTCCAGCCTCTGTGTCCCTCGGGGTGAGGAGTGTGTGGAGATGTGCCACGTTCTTCGCGAGCTGAGCAGCCCAAGGGCAGCTGCAGGGTCATCGGGCAGCCCCACAGGCACCCACCTCGTAGCACAGGTCCCCCTCCACAGCACTCCGGAGAACAAGATGCTTCTTCCCCATGATCTTTTTATACGCAAAAAATTCCCAAAGTTTCTGGAATTCCCACTTTTTCCTTCAGTAAAGCAATCGTGCCCAAGTAGCAAGTGAAGAGCAGTGGGACTCTGCTGTGCTGGAAGCCCAGTGAGCCCACGGGGCAGTTCCGCCAGCTGCAGGGTGCAAGGACATCCCGATGGGGGAACCTCTGGGTTTCTTCCTTTCTTCTGAAATGAGAAGAGGTCCCACCAGATGGGCTTAGCAACTTGTGTAGGAACTGCCGCCGCAGAGGTGAACGGTCCACCGGGCTCTGGTTTCTGCGCTGGCTTGATGATGGCCGAGTCTCCAGTTACAGGATGGTGCCATCAACCTGTCCTGGTTTCTTGGATGGACTCAGGGCTTAGCATGGGGTGGAGGGGAGGGGGCCCAGTGCCGGCGGGGGGGGGCCGGGTGTCCCCAGCATGACTCCTGACTCTTCCTCCTCCTGCAGCTCGGGGAAGACTCGGATTATGACAAGCTGAGTGATATGGTCAAATACCTCGACCTGGAGCTGCACTTCGGGACACAGAAGCCTACGAGTAAGTACCTGAGCCCCAGAATAGGTCCTGGGACCGGCCAGAGACTGGGGTGCTGGGTGGAACTGGGGCTTGGTGGGCAGCAGGGCAATGCCTGGTCCTAGCATCACCCGCAGCACAGAATCCGTTCATACTCAGGATTTTGTGGCTGGTGGCACAGCAGATCATTATGGTGGAGATCGTTCCACTACCATCTCCCTTAATTTTCCTTTCCGAGCGATGCTCGGGCTGGTGCCTGAGGCATCCGGCAGCTCCCACAACGGCTGGGTTACAGCCGAAGCAAAACACGATGGGTA